ATATCAATATTTCACTCATTGCACAAATTACCGAGTGTCGAGTGCCAAAACCCGAAACTCAAAGCACGGTACACAAATCACCAAGTGCTGAGTGCCAAATGCTGATGCCCGAAACCCAACATCCGAAGCCTGAAACCCAAAGCCTGAAACCCTAAAATATGTATATAACATATCCATATTTCCCTCATTGCACAAATCATGGAGTGTCAAGTACCAAAACTCAAAACTCGACACCTGGTACACAAATCACCAAGTGCTGAGTGCTGAGGCCTGAGCTCCGATGTCCAAGGCCCAAAACCTGATGTCTGAAGCCCAAAACCCAAAGCCTAAAACCTGATAATATGTATGCAACATATCCATTTTTCCCTCATTGCACAACTCACTGAGTGTCAAGTACCAAAACCCGAAACTTGAGACCCAGTACACAAATCACCAAGTGCAGAGTGCCAAGTGCCAAGGCCCAAAACCCGACATCTAAAGCCCAAATTCGGAAGCCTGAAACCCGAAAACATGTATGCAATATTTCCATTTTTTACTCATTGCACAAATCACTGAGTGTTGAGTGCCAAAACTTGAAACTCAAAACCCAGTGTGCAATAGGCAAAGATAATGAAAAAATGGAAGTTGTTGTCCGAGTCTAGGTGAGTGTATTGGTAGTCTTTTCTTGTCCATCGGTTATCATTTGACCAAGATATAAGCTAAAGAAATCTGAAACATCGGCGAGAATGAAAAATGAAAGTTGTAGTCCAAGTCAAGGTGAGTGTATTGGTAGTCTTTTCTTGTCAATTGGTTATTTCATTACTCGGTACTCAGTACTTAGAAATCAGTACTCAGTACTTGGTTCTGATACCCAGTACCTGGTGTAATGATAGTCGCGGCACTGGGCTCAAAACCCGTGTTTTTGATACTCACATTAAACAGTATTTGTCCGATGCATCCCTGACATTCCGATCCTGATCCCGACGCCCGACCCCGGCCTGAAAGTTTTGGACCCAACATTTTTGCATCAGACTCATCCTTCCAATGTCCTGTCTAGCTGTATCTATCCCCACTGGTGCATATTTACTCGTTTTCACATTATTGAATATTACAGACAGCGTTATTACATGTAAGCATAGACCATTGCACTTTGACATTTTTCACAATTTTCAGTATCTTGCCCTTGCATCCATGATCCAACCTTTTAATATATAATGAGCATAGCTTATATTATTGCCTCTGATGACCAAGATCAGCTCACAATAGGCTGGAGTTTGTGAGCTAGTGTGCATACTTGCCATTTCTCCTGATAAGGGGCCCATACCTTCAAAACATTGAATCTTCATGATCAGGAAACCTGGAGTACATTTAAAATATATTAAGTATCATAGACATAAATTTACAGACAAATCCACCAAGAATTGAGTACTGAGGAAGTGAAATAGATAAGAAATGGAGTGTGGGAAACTTCAAAGACCCAAAGCATCGAAAATGGTCAGTGAAGCAATTAATAGGACTTTAATGCTGAGTCAACTCATGTTTTCACTATATCCCTTCCACCCACCCCCTACCCTCAAGGCAGTAGGCAGTATGGGTTCCTTAGGTAGTTTACAATCTATCCTACATATTTTTAATGAAATCTTTGGCCTGAATCATCTATAAATGCGACTGTGTAAAAATATGTCTATTGTCACATTTCACACATATGCCTGTCATTACATCAATCCTTCATGTATCTTTCTAAACTATTAGGGCTATTATAATGGACATATATGGGTGTTATTCCAGGTCTCTGATCCCATCACAGGCTTGTCATGTTGGATATCTCAACATAATGTGCAAGTCTTGCTATTAATATTCATTCTTTTATCTTTATGCTCACTTACTGCACACATGTACAAATGCACGCCTCATCTTTACATCATTGCTAACATGCCAGACAAATATATACTCCTCATACCTGCATCATCCTACCTCAGTCTATTTGTTCTCAGACTGAGGTATGACTATACATTCATTATCATACTCGACACTGACTAACATTTAACGTAGTCTTCAAATAATCTCCAATTGACAAGAATGACATAAGTATAAAAATTAGTGGTTCTGAGCCCAGCACCGCAACCATCACTACACTGAGTACCAATACTTGGTAGGACCACCAATACATTCACATAGACTCGGACTACAACCTTCATTAAAAAAGTTAAGCATAATAATAATTTTCATTTTTTCATTATCATTTTCCTACATTGACTAGCGAGTCCCGAGTCCTGACCCTTGGTAGTCAATACAATTCCCAAGTTATTTGAACCCTACATCAATGGATAATACATACAAATACAGAATTCATGTCTAGTTGTAGTGATGTGTACCAGGTGTTAAGTTTCGGATTTCGGTACTCAACACTCGGTGATTTGTGCAGTGAGGGAAATAAGGATATGTTGTATACATATCTTTGGGTTTTAGGCTTTTGGTTTCAGGCTTTGGATGTCGGGCCTTGGCACTCAGCACTCAGCACTTGGTGATTTGTGTACCAGGTCTCAAGTCTCAGGTTTCGGTACTTGACACTCAGTGATTTGTGCAATGAGTGAAATATGGATATGTTGTATACATATTTTCGGGTTTCAGGCCTCGGGTTTCGGGCTTCAGACATTGGGGTTCAGGCCTCGGCACTCGGCACTTGGTGATTTGTGCAATGAATGAAAAATGGACATTTTGCATACATGTTTTTGAGTTACAGGCTTTAGATTTTGGGTCTCAGGCTTCGGGTCTATCAGGACTCGGCACTTGGTGATTTGATAACTGGACTTTTAAGCTTCAGGCTTTGGGTGTTCAGGTGTTCATGTGTTTGGTGTAAGGAAATAGAAATTTCACACATTTTCATCAGTTTCCAGTTTCCAGTCTCGAGCTTGGGGTGTTTGGGTGTCTGGAATGGATGTTGCACAATGGGATTTGGTTTTTGGGCATCTGGGACTCGGTAATCCGTGAATGTCAGACAGATATCTCACTACCTCGGCCCACCTGTCTATATCACATCCCCCTCCATCGGCCCACCCATCTATATAATGAATATTCCACCACTCTCTCAGCCCATCCGTCTACAAAATAATTCCAGTATGTCGGCCCACCCGTCTATACAATAAACCCTTACATCAGCCCACCCGTCTATATAATACATATTCCACCACTCCCTCAGCCCACCCGTGTACAAAATACTTCCTGTAAGTTGGCCCACCCATCTATACAATAAACCATTACATTGGCCCACCCGACATCTTTGAGGATATATATAATATCAGCATAGATGGGCCCACCCGTCTCCATCGGAAATAATATCCCTCCCGGCCCATCCGTCAACATCGGGGATATACATAACATCGGCCCATAGTCCACTGGCCCGTCTTATACGGGATATTATGTAGGTTGGGTGACCTGTATAATACGGAATTTGTCACTGAAGGGGCTCATCAGCTTGCAGGCCAGTGCAGATCTGCGGTCATGAGATTTGGCAGCAGCAGCAGCTCGTTTCAACAATCTGTCAGCATTGCGTGCATCCTCACACTCGTGGACTGATTCCCAATTGAGCATGACCTGCTTCGCAAAGGGTTGAAAGTCATAGGTGTTACGACTTGGATGGTATCTGTTGGCGATGCTCAAACAGAGCTTGTGTCGTCAATGGTCTGTGGACGTCCTTGGGCTAGCCCAAGGTTAGGGGTCGTACTTGGCGTGTCTTCGGCAAGTACGATTTAACGCCTATGTCCAAATCGGGTAGCTTATGTCACGCGGGTGCGAGACAATAAGCTATGTCGGCCTAGGCTTACGACACCCGAAGGTTAATCGTAAGGATCGTCGTTAATTAGAAGGACAGAAGTCCGACTAGTTAACAGGGGCTTTGCTCGTCGACGAAGTCGATGAGTAAAGGTCAAGACTATAGGCTTATCCGCGAAGAGCAGATAAGAAGATAGAATATAGACTGCTGGCGAGGCAGAAGGATCACTCTGGTGAGAGTAGGAGGTCAAGAACCAAGTAGATTCAAGTTAGGGAATATGGTACATGGTAGCGAGTTTATATAGAGGACAGGGGACGTATTAGTGGATGATAACTCGTACTACCGGGAGAGGCAATCGTTAAAGGGTAAGACCATAATAGGAAGGCACGTTCGATCTAGGTAGAACGTGCTGGATAAGAAAGTGAGTCAGAGATCAGAATGAGAAGTGAAACACGCAGGGGCACGATCGTGCAACTGCGGATCTAAGTATAAGTCGCATGTGCGACTGCGCACCGAGTCAGAGATCAAGAAAGGAAATGGGATGCGTCGTGCATCGTATCATAGGTTACCATCCAGATGGTAAGGGCAAGGGGACTGTCCGCAGGATCAGTCAGGTGGTGGAACGGAGCATGGGTATGCTTCGTCAGCGAAAGGATCCGGCCAGATGTACTGGCTTTGCTGAAGCGACAGGTAGAGGGCGAAAGGGAATGCAAGGATGACGAGGATGACAAGGGTGAGGTCGGGGTAAGGGTATGATGCGAGGGCTGATACGAGGAGGATCAGGAGAAAAATAGTAGGGGCCCAAGCGTCTAGATGTTCTTGTAACAATAGGTCGCATGAACTTCCAAGAGACCATGACCGTGCTCAAGCAATGGCTCAGTTTCACTGAATGGCTTAAAATGTGCCAGAGCAAACAAAGCCCAGGAATCTGCATCTCACTTGCATGGTATGCACATTCCGATCACATGTGGTATCAGGCAGCGACGAGTCTCTCCCTGCTGTGCATTGGTGTGCTCAACAAGAACATGTGTCTGGTGGAGATCATGACCTTGATTTAATGTATGCCTGTGGAAGATACCCAGCTGAGTCTCAGGTGTATTGTGGTTCTTGTCTGAAGTAGTTTTTTTTTCCAAACTCACATTATGACAGAAGTCATAGAAATTCATATGGCTGAGTGTCAGTGCTTGGTGCAAGTAGTGGTGAACCTGGTGCATTGTAATCAATCTTCCAGCCCTGTCAGTGCCCAAGTTCAATGAGACATCCTCTGTGTCACCATCGGCTTCATCATCTGTTTGGCATAGGCCAGTAGCATATCATGTTCTAACATATGACAATAAAAGGCCAGAAAGCATGGGCACCATCTCATGAGATGGGATGTCATCACCAAACCCTCGAAGGTAGTGTGCTGCCTACTGGGCATGGATTTGCTGTTGACGGCCACACTGTGTCAGACATTTGTGCAGAAGCTTCTTGGTGGTAGACACTTTGCTGTCTTCTGGATGTGCAGAGACTTGAGCAACTGCTCTAGAAAGCAGTGACAACATCTCATATGTCTTCAGCTCCATTTTTGTAATGTAGTTTGTAATGTAAAACATTGCTGTCTTTGCTGCTTTCCTAGACAAAATGCATTTGAGGTCATGATTGTGTCTGCAGTATACCAACACATAAGGATTGAAATAGTTCACGGTACCATCACGACACTTCAACACTACAGACTTTGTTTCCTGGACATAATATGATGTATCTACAATTTCATGGAGAAACTGGAACCTACACTCATCATTGTTGCCATACTTGTGACACACTTGCTTACACTGGTGACGCTGAAGGGCTTCCTGCAACGCTTGACTTCAGTCAGAAATTCAGAGTCCCATTGTTTCATCACAGCTGGTGTACAGTCTGTCAGTGAGGGAGCTTCAGGCAGACACTGAGTATGCGGCTCAAAAAAAGCCATGGTGTCAACCTCCATGTCCGGTAAGTGGTGATAGATGATATCTTCAAAGAATTCAAAGAATTGTCGCTGATAGTCTGGGTCCACCAATCATTCATGTAATGTGGTAGGGTTGACGCCACATAAAAGCCAAATCACAAAATGGCCATGCAGTGATTCACGTTCAGTAAACTCACAAGTGCCATAAAATGCTTTGATGTGTCCTAATATTCCCCCTCATGGTGAAGATGTACAAGTGTTAAAGTCCCACCCAAAGAGATGAGTGAAGAGGCATGTGACAGAGAACTCAAAGAAATCAGCCACTGCCACAGGATCTCGAGCCAAGCGGAGAGCACACTTGTGGGTTGATACAAGAATAGCATAGCATTGAATCTGATCCACTGTCTCATCCTCAAAAATCACCTGGAAGATAGGGCTATGAACTGCATTAGGGTTGCAGGTAAAAAACAAGTGCGGCATACCAAAAAATCCAAAGTAGCTCCTGATTTCACTTTGGATGTGCATTTTTGATGCTTGTGAGCCAGGGATGCAGGCAGCAATTGTGTTCACCTGGTTGAGTAAGTTAAGTGCAGCACAATCATCTGAGCTGAGGTTAGAATAACTATGCTCTTTCTGCAGTTGGTCAGCTACTTGATGAAGTGTCTGAGCAGTCAGGCTGTTTAAGGTTTGAGCTATATTTTCAAAGTGGGATTGTCTCACAGTAAAGTGTGTATGAAGATGTGCCAGGCAACACTGCTGAATATTTAGCACAACAAACATGTATGACCGATGATGACAAAAGGCCCTGTCCTTGATGTCAAAGTAGTATTTGGCTTGAGCCTGAAATGCCAATGGGTGGGATCGTGTGCTGTCATCAAATCCACCGATGCCAAATGGGAAAAGTGTAGAAAACATGCTGGGGATCAGATCAGGGTTGTGATACTCATCCACAGCAGAAGTGGATCTATGTATGACAAGGTCAGGTTTCTCAGCAGACGAAGGCAGCAGGTTGTGTAAAGCGGCTGCTGTGAAATCACAACCTGCCAAGCGAGTACATTCTGGATTGGACACGCCCATGGTCTCCACTATGATGGTAGGATCAGCAGCAACACTATCACCTGCTTGAGTGAATGATTGTGCAGGATGATCAGAGAAGCCGGCAGTTTCTTCAGCAAACAGTGAAGGGGCATTTGAGTCATGATCATATATAATCTGTTCAACTACACCAGGTACAGTATCATCTTCAGGATACTAATCTATTACCTCTGAGTCTAATGTGATGTGCTGGTAAAGACAATTATGGGCACAGAGCCATCACAAAAGTGACCAGACTACATGCGGATGCAGAAGATCGTGTGGAGTGAGGATGCATCAAGCTTGCCTGTGCCTATAAAGATCACTGAGAGCATGTCATTGATGTCAGCAGGAGTTTGAGGAAGGACTTTGATGGTAGAGACCACATTTGTTTCATGAGCACATGTATTGCCATGGAACACAAATGGCTGTGTGGCATCTGACAACTGATATAGACGAGTGACATGAGTGGTGTTACTGTAGATGGCACACACCATTTCTTTTACCCAGGTTAGGTCTCTGAATAGGAGGGGCAGCTGCCCACAATATAGCTTGTTTGCTAGAGCAAGGCGGGAAACCTTTAATTTTGACAGCGACCTGAAGCATGCTGCACATATATTCAGACAAGCTTTGGTCAAAGTGCATTCAGTGAAGCCATCTTTGTCCAGCATCAAGCCATTCAACATTTGGTAATCAAACATAAACTCATTGGACAATGTCTGCACTATGCACTTCTTGACAACAGATATGTCATGCAAGCGCAGAAGATCCAAACTCAAGGGGAGTGCTTCTCCAATTTTGTCACCTTCAAGGACGAGGCTGCAAGTTTTGTGAGCATATTGACTGCATACAGCGCAGATGGAGCCTGGTTTCCAGCATGTAGCCTTCTGATAATCTTGCATGCATTGATGTACAATAGATTGGGCTACAACCTGCGGCCACTGGGCAGCTATGCTGGCTTCCACGTGGATGGCATCAGATGCTGATGCAGTTTCATGCTCTCTTCTTTGAAGCATCAACCTGTCATTGACAGTTGGTATAGCCTGATGAAGTCAATCAGCAGCAATGATAGAGTACTCGATGTTCAGTACATTTCACACTAATGCATGACAACATTGCACAGGTGTAAGGTATGACCTCTAGCACTGTAAGGAAAAACTCATAGTCAGGCAAAGAAGACAGATATTTGGCATGATGTTGGATGTGGTCAACAAAAGCAGAACAACACTGGTGGTGTGATTTATTGCTGTAAGGTGGCCAAATAGATGCTGGAATGATGTGCATACACCCAACTACATCTGCTCATAACAACTTTTCCATATGGCATACCAACTCTTTGGCAGGAAGATACATCCAGCTCACAGAAGGCAAATGGTCATAGTTCAATGGTTTAAGGTCTCATTGCATGATTGAAGCGACTGGGTTTAAGCCATGCCTGAAAGCAGCTGCTACAGGGCTTCCATAAAATTCTTCAAAATAAGCACATATGGCTATGAGACATGAGCTCGGGGCATCAATGCTCGCCATGGACGTTCTACAATGGTCGAGGATGGCGGCATCAGTCATGGTGCTCATCTGCAAACAAAGACTCACAAAACTTGAGAGCAACACTTGAATGGCTTCAGGTCATGTACAATTCCTCTCTGTGAAGCTGGCTGGAAGATTTTGCACAGCTCGTACAAGTACTGGGGTTTCAAGGTCTCCCAGACACTGAGAGTAATGTTCATCAGGTCAATTGAACCATGTTGGGTCATCCACTACCACTGCAGTGTAGCAATGCTGTAAGGTTTCGAGGCACATGACAAGCAAGCGAGGAGGAAAGTCTCAATCCAATGGGTGCTTGCCCAATATATGCTGAGGCAGTGGATTAAACACATGTTATTTTCTGAGTACATGATGGAGTCCCAGTGATCGAAGTGTGGGAATACAATATTTGGACTACATGCCAAGATGAAGGAGGTGATTCATGTGAGACACAGCGTCATTATGGCAGATGTGAGCTGGCAGTCCGAGTCTCCCACTGAACGCACAATCCTACACAGAGATTTGGAAAGGAGCTAGGCACAGTGGTACACCTCCAAGAAATATGGGGCAGCAGTCAACATTGATTATACAATGGCTGGAGGGCGCTGAGGCATCACAGACTCTGTGATTTGAAAGACTTCTATTGTATGCTGGGACACTATTGTCAGAGAGAGATTGGGTCTGGCCTGGGACACACACCTTCCATGTAGGCATGTCAAACTCAAAGATCATATGTCGGTGGTTCACATGTGATTCAGGACCTGGCATGCCATTTGATGCATGGGACACTTGGAAATATCAGATTTGATCTATTCTGAGGTAAACAGACTCACATATGATGGGTTCTCCATTATCACTGAGGTGGAATAAGCAGACACCATCATAGAAAAGACCAGATAGGTGATAAAGGTTTTCAACAGATTGCCCAAAATTATTGAGATTGATGATGAGGTGGAATATGTTGATGGGCCCGGATATGCATACAATTCTCAACATATTGTTCTGTCTGCCATGACTGGTCTGACTCTTGTAGTTTGACGAGACCTCACCTTTTTATGTTCATCCATGGGGACAGCTGCTGCAGTCATGTCAGGCTCTTCGTCCAGAGATTCATGTTGGACAGAAGTACCAAGGCTTGCTGCCGTTGTTCTTAATGGCCCAAGCCTGTTATGCTATCAGTAACAATATCTTTAGAGAAAATTGCTAGATGTACATGAAGCTTGGTACAGGCACATGTCTGCTCTTGGCTACTGCTCGGTGTCTGATATCTTCCCAACCCCTGAATGTGCAAACAACAGGTGCAAGTTTCTCAATGAAGTCGTCAACAATGTTAGTATCATCCATCTTGGGTGAGGACAAGTTTTCTCAAACTTAAGTGCCTGTCCAGTGAGAGCAAGATATTCATCCAAGAGAACATTCTGTGGCAGGCAAAAAAGGAGAAACTGGATCTTACACTGATCATGCTGGCTTACTGTCTTGGTGCAGGTGGTTAGTCATGCAGAGAGCTAAGATATAGGAGCCAATCACTCTGACTCACATCGATTACAGCCTCGAGATTCTGGAACAGGCCAATAAGAGGGAGAGATTATGTCAAACATGCAGGGTCAGTGCATGGTCACGTTCAAGAGTTGAGCACTTTGACTCTGAGTTCCAACAAATCAGAGAGGGACGGGACATAAAGTCATAATGCACAGTATTTTTGATAATCAGAGAGAACAGAATATTCTGCTTGACAGAGAGCATAATCTAGATAGAGAGTAAACACCCCCCAAAAAATTAAGTGGTCAAAATGTGTGGATGTGGTGGAAGGGGAAGTGGTGCTCCACTACTTAGCCTCAGGGTGGGGACAGGCCATACCAGGCTTCATAGGGAGGGGAGTTTGAGCAGACCAAAAAGATCAGGCACTCACTGAACTATATATTGATTTTTATTGTTAGTTGGCTGTATCACAAAGGCCATCATATGCAGATGGGGTGAAGTCAGAATTCAAACTCAGCCAACAAATTCCAATAAGGGTACATCTGAGAAAATCGGGTAGAATCAGCAGAGGATTTAAGTGATGGGAAAATGTTTGAGTTCAACAAGAGCTCTCCTCCACTAATGTGGGAGTCAGAGATGGATCTTTCTGAAACATTGGATATATGATACTGGATATATTATAACTGTACTCCAGGTGTCTGATTATTAAATTTTGATGCTTTGAAGGTACTATGGCCTTATCAGTAAAATTAACCAGTACACACACTAGCTCAAAGCTCCGGCCTATTTATCAGTGATTTATGGTACATAAAGGATATATATATGCCCCACTAATGGTATATGAGCAGGCTGGACCATGTGTACCTAGTTAAGATATTGAAAAACCTCAAAAATGTGATTTTCCTTATTTTTGTTTCTATTGAAGGATCCTATAGGTGTCCTGTGGTAGCTATGTGATAGATATACCATAAATATACATAGATATAGACCCCTTACCATCCTTGAGGTCCGGTCCTGCAGGAAAAAAATTCACAGAGGGTGTATCACCAGGAGATGATATGTATGCTGCATCACAAGGTCTTATCTGATGGTCCTGGACTCCTGATACATTGTTACTACTGTTGAATAGATGCTGGGAATACATTTTTCAAGTATATTCACTTAAAAATAAATACATGAGAACATATTTTGTGTTTTTCTCTATATATGCTATATCTATTGATGGAGGGCGCTTCAGGAGGTCAAATAAGTGTGTAAATCTCTTCATATACACTTCTAAATATGTACTGAATACCCTAGAACACTTTCCTGCCAAAGGGGCAAAAGTGCGAAAGTGTTCTATATTCTACCATATGTTGAATTGCCCCTGGAGGAGGAGCTGGCATACAAATGAGCAAAAAAGTGGTCTATTATATTGTGTTATACATATATATACTAATCTACTACTTATATATGAAGGGGGACCTATTGTGGTGTAGTGGTGAAGCTGCAGTGAGGTGGGAAGGGTGTGGGAATAATTAATATTGTGGAGATTTCCAAAATAAGTGATGTTTGTGGTGTTGTAGGGTAATTCCCACACTGTGTGGCTGAAAAATGCAGAAATGTGATGTGTGGGAATAGTGTGGGGAGGCCTGACATAAGGAGGTGAGCATCACATAAGATAGGGCTCATGCATAACCAACCAACCTGTGATGACCTGTGATGCCTTGTGACCCAATGTGACCAATGCCAACATGCAGTGACCAGTGTGTGACCTGAAAGGACGAGAGGATTACGATGATATGTATCGTAGTATCAACTGTGCTATGTAGCTAGATCTAATTAATAAACTGGGAGTTGTTGTATATGCCAGGTACAATATATTATATGAAATGATAGGTGAATGAAACTAGTATGTATTAAAGTCCAGCCTTCTCAAGCTTTGCAAGAATAGTGTAAGGGAGGACTCAATGACCTTTGTATTTTTTACTTGCCCATGCCCTTGTTTTCCCATTAAACCTTTTTTATAAGCATCCATGAATCTGTGAGAACAACATGCATATCTAAATTTGCAGGTGAGACAAAACAATCAAATAAGAAGGAGGCTTACTTCCACATTTGCTCCACAGTCACGGACTCCAGCGCGTCGACGAGGTTCTTCGCGAGATCATGCTTGCTAGGTGAGGGCAGCATTTGGTGGTATACTCGCTTGGCATGCCCCCAACACTGCTCAATAAAAGTAAGCTTGCAGTGAAATTTTGGAAGGAACAGTACTGAGATTCCTTGTGATTCAGCGGCAAGTTCAAGTGTAGATTTGACATTCACAAAGTCAGGTTCATTGTACAACATCTGTCGACAGCAGTAATGTTTGACACCAGGCTTGCATGTAAAATTTGGCCTACACTCTGCACGAACATTCACCATATTGTCATAACCACGCTCCTCCAGAATTTTTGCCATGCCCTTAAAAATACCTGCACGTGGATGGCCCTTGGGGAAATAGAATGACTAGGGGGAACCGTCCTCGAAAGTGCCATCACCCATGCATATTTTCATCTTTGTGGGCTTCCCATCAACACCATAAATAATCTTCCCTTCTGAATTTCTCACTGTTACCTCAACACCCCAGTTTGTCCCAACTTTAGGTGTTCCTTTAGGCATTTTGCATGCGGAGAGAGAACCATTGGGGTGCTTGAGATGAGTTGTCGCATTATTGAAGATGAAGATATGATCCTCATTGGGCCAGTGCTTTTGAACGATCGCTATGGTGTTCTCAAACTGTGTGAGGATTTCTTCATTTGAAAAATGACCATTGCATGATTTTCCTGCCTTAAATAATATCCATGCTGACTCCTTTCCATCAGGCGGTCACAACCAGCCATGATCTGCTGACACAAAGTCAGCAACCATCAGAGAAGCCCCTTCTCCTTTTGTGTACGGAGTGGCGCTTGTGTTTTTGTGCACCCATTTTGACTTTCTGTAGTCATTAGCATAGAATGTGCTTTCATCGTGAAACCAGACACACAGAGGCCACTCAGTATCACAGATCTCTTTGTCATCCTTTCCCCAGGTACACATGTTTGCTTCTTCCTCTGCCCATTTCTTCAGAAAAACATGTTGACGATAATAGACAACATCTTCACACTCGTGACCATCAATATATTGACCACGGTGATCCTGAACCCAGCAGTAGTCCATACACTTCATGCAGCACTTTTCTGTTGCCAGGGAGATGGTTTTTTTTCATCTTCAGGCGTGTTTTACTTCCTCATTATCCAGATATGTAACAATGTCTTCCGCATGGACATAAGTGCCAATGGATTGAAGGTGCTCATGGATCTCATTAGCAATGTCAGGATCATCGAGCCATGACAATCCATGTCTCCAACCAAATGGATTGACAGGGACATTATTATGATTCTGCACATAGGCTTTGGTTGCCTCTCGAAGTTCCTGTGTCCACCAACTTGACCTTCCTTTCCCATTTGCTGTCAACAATGATGCAGCCATCCAAGCCTGATATCCAGTAGAGCAGGGGTTCGTGTAATGGGTGAGAAATGATGTCATTGATTCAAGCCATAGTTTTGTCCAGTTTTCAAGCTTAGTGTCCTTATAGCTGTGGCCAGTGTTTTGTGGTGGCTTCAGCATGGTATTGATATCTTTGAGTGCACTCACAGCCTCGGAGACATTGGGTGGCTTCCGGAGTTCCCATGTGAGCCCTATGCCCTCAGAACACACTCTGAGCTCTGTATTTGCCTCAAGTGGAGGCTTGGCCTCAAAAATGTCTTCATCTGCTTCTCCATCATCTTCATCACCATTGATTCTCAGCTCAGCCTGTTCAGGTGAGTTGTTGTCATCGACTCCTGGCTCGTTGCAGTCACAATCAGCTGTAGTGAAGATTTTCTTGATGTTGTGGCTAGACATTGCTGAAAGTGATTCTTGTGTCTCAATTATTTTGGCAGCATCAAAAATTAATTCAATATTGAGTGAGAACGGAAGTTTGGACATGTCTACAGAAGGTGAAGTGTTTAACGAGGGAGAGTCAATACCCGCAGGCTGATAAGGATGTCAGACATGGAAAATGAGTGAATCTGAGTCTGAAGCTTACCTGCACATTCTCTTTCTCTTTAGCTCGTACCTGGCTGAGCCTGGTTTTCTTGGTGTTCCTTATAGTGTGTTCACCAAGATTCTTCAAGTTACCCAGTGCACACTTCGGTATTGTGCAGCCTGCGGTGCAGTACTCTGAGGGCATGGACATGGAGGTGAAGGTTTACCTTTTTCGTAGTGTTACCTCTTAATTGTCACACACAAAGATTTCATTTCCGACCCCATAAGACTCATTTTTCTAATGGCACTCACAATTCTCAATTTTTCAAAAATACAGCCCCACAGAGTTGTTCTAAATACAAATACAAAGAAGACTGTGTTTTTTTTTTTTTGCCAAAAAGTGACATTTGCGACAGCCATTAGCTTAC